AAGCCTTTTATGACATCGTGGAGGTCGTGCTGATACTGCTGCAAGAGCACGATCACAGCTGGCAGAAGTTACGTGAACCGCTTCGCTGCGCTCCACCGGGAAAGCCACCGCACGCCGTGGATGAAGTTGGACACCGCAGTCGGGGGCTCCGATAACATCATACGTGGACTTCATACAAGGTTCGGCGTTTCCAGCGACGCCATGAATTTGATGAAGCCCACGTATGATGTTATCTGAGCCTCTGACTGGCACGTGTAAACCGCGGTCTTCGTGGCCGTCATTTGGTGGAGTGTGCTCTTGTCGAGGCCCTCAAACTCGTTCAAGAGAGTCTACCGCAGCATCTTCAACTTCGTCACCTTCATCAAGCGGTAAGCGTCGCGATGGACGTTGGAGCGCTGGTGCATCCGAATGCTATTTTTCTGCATGTCACGACCACCGCTGCCATCTTTGCATTACTTTGTATCTGCGCCAATGACTCCGTGCTCGATGCAAGTGCTGTAGCGCAAAACAGGGAAACCATCATCAGCTCAGTCCATAACTAGCCAAGGAAATAGATTCTCCCAGCTAGACTTGAATCGGCGATGAGCTTTGGCAAAGGCAGCATCGGGATCTTTCGAATTCTCATACTCGGGGGGATCCACATCCTCGTCGTCGTCATTGCCGACGACAACATCTGGTACCTCGACCAGATCTTTTTTCGATACGCGAGCGAAGGGTAGACGCCACTATCGCCACTTCTGGGGGAGGCTGTCCGCTTTCCGCTTCGCAGAAGTTGATGCCAAGCCGACGACGGGTGGGAATGCAGCACAAAAACCCCCAGTGGTGGAAACGGGAATTGCTGCGGCGGATGGCAGACTACGCTATAAATCTTTCCCTGCGGGTTCTCTCAAAGGCGACCCAGCGCACGGCAGCATCGGAGCTGGGCACGGCAGAGCGGCAGCAAACAGCGAGCGACGGATGAAACTATGCGCAGATCGCGGAGGGGATAGCGGGGGTTTCCGAATACCACCCTCCTTCTCATCGACGCCATCGGCGGAAGGCATGGCTATTTGTCTAGTCGTGAGGAAAACAAACACGCAGTGGTGGAGATACTATCGTACAACAGATTGTATCTCTCAGGGACGGGGCCACACTGAAGCACAGCGAGAAGGAATGAGGTGAACGAGAAGGGGTCCCAAATAGGGGAGGAGGGGGTCGTCGACATCTCTGTCCTCAATGTCAGAACTCAATCACTAACCACTGAGTTAAAAGGGCTTGTTAAGTAGCGGGTAAGTGCGCCCATAAACCCCCAGGCTCTGCACCTGTGACCCTTCTCCGAGGATCTCAAGGGCAACCCCAACGCGTCCCTTGACACCCCTTGTCGCTGGGATAGGCGAAAGACACAAGCGCCTCTACAGCGATGGCACTTCCAACAGTGCCCACTGGGAATTGAACCTGAGGCCTAAGGCTCTATACCATGTCAGAACTCAGTCACTAACCACTCAGTTAAAAGGGATTGTTAAGTAGCGGGTAAGTGCGCCCATAACCCCCCAAGCTCTGCACCTGTGACCCTTCCCCGAGTATCTCAAGGGAAACCCCAGCGTGTCTCTTGACACCCAACTCCCAGCCAATCAACGACTTTGCCTGCGCATCAGGCAAGCCGAGGACCTTCTGCTGCCTCGATACTTATGCGAGCTGCGTGTAAGAGTAGCAGGAAAAAATGTGACTAGGAAGAGGGGAGGGGAGATACAAGTACAAAATATTGTCCCCTCTATAAACTGACCTACAGTAGCTAGGCTATAAAGAACATATCTAAACTAACTAGATATGTGTATACATAATCTATGTTTATTGACACACCCCCTAACTTAGGTAGAGGCAGAGTTTGACAAGCCAAGCAGCACTACTAGTCTGACCACTGAGACAAGGGGACACAAGGCCAGTCAGAAGGTGTAACAAGACATGCAAGTATAGAAATAGCGAGTACAAGCCGGTAAAGTAGATATCAGGATACAAGGAGTGGCGCTGCTACGGAGGCTAGACCAAGCTGAGTACAGAACCGCTAATGGTCACGAGGCGGTAGTGCCTTGGTGAAGATATCAGCAGTGTTGGCCTCTATGGCCACGTGCACTACTCGAGCCTGGCCGCGCGGCTGCAACTCACGTAGTAGGAAGTACCGCAGCTGGATGTGCTTCGCCTTGCCCTCAAGTCGAGCCTCCTGACATAGGAGGATTGATGGAAATCGTGCAAATCTGGAGAGAACTAATTAGAGATTAAGTCTGACGACCTCAACGAATCATTGCGTGCTGCTCAGGTATTTTATAGAAATGAGCTTATACGCGTTGGAAAGGTCTTAATCTCTACTTTCCAGAATGGTAAAGCACGTTCATAACCAAGATCTGAGCCGCCGATTATGACGAAATCAGTGTGAGGGGGTATTCTGGTAATTTGGCTAGGCAGCCATGAATCACCTAGTAAAAACGAGAAGGGAAGCAGTTCGATCTGGAAAAGTTGGAGTATTTGATTGTCAAACAACACCAACCCTCGCCCTGAACCAAACCCTAACACTCCCAAGTGCCACAGCTGCAACATCAAAGATGCTGTAGTGGGTATGGGGTAGTATGGGTTGGAAAGGTAACAAGATCAAACCTAGCCAACCAACCCAATTCTTTTGCCCAAATCCCAATAGCCCACAGCCAGCTAGAGCAAATCACACCACAGAACACTACACATTTATCACTCCCCCTTGCTCGTGCTGGGTGTGGCGCAACACCATAGGGCAAATGCCTTCACACCACTCCCCCTTGCCCACGGGTTGGGGCCACCCAGAGCATCGAGTCCGCCAAGGAGAGGAGCACCAAGACGCCGGCATCTGCTGCGGGAACTCTGTCATCATGGGGCTGCATCCCGAGCAAGGTCATGCACACACCATGACGCTCAAATGGAAGAGACTTGGTAAGAATATCAGCAGCCTGACGGTTGGTAGGGCACCACTGCAAAATCACCTCACCCGCAGCTACCATCTCCCGAATGAAATGCCACCGGACCTGCATGTGTTTGGTGCGGCCATGCAAGCATGCATTCTGTGCAAGGGCAATGGCAGACTGATTATCCACAAACACAGGCACACCACCAGCATGATCATGGCCAAACTCCCCAAACAAACGCCTCAGCCAGACACCCTCCCGAATGCACTGACACAGACTTATATACTCACTCTTAGTGGTAGAGAGTGCTACCACGGGCTGCCTCTTGCTCTGCCAAGAGATAGCTGCCCCATTCAGACAGAACACATACCCACTGTGGCTCCTGCGACTTGCGGAATCTCCAGCATAGTCAGCATCACTGAAGCCAACTAGCTGGACCTGAGACTGGGGCTGTGTTTGGAAGAAGATACCTGACTTGACACCACCTTTCAGGTACCTCAGCACTCTCTTAGTGGCCTGCAAGTGAAACATTTTAGGACAAGAGGCGACCTTAGATAGCTGTGAGACTGCAAAGGCAATCTGTGGCTGTGTGGTAGTACAAGCATACATGAGGGATCCCACAATGCTTTGGTAGAGCTTGACCAGCTCATCTCGCAGCAAGGGTTCATCCTCATAGGCATGCACATCAAAGCCTGTTGGGAGAGGAGTATGCACGGGGTTGGCCTCTGAGAGACCAAAGGACTGAAGCATGTTAAGAATGTACCTCTCTTGATGAATCAAGATACCACTCGCATCACGTTCAATTTGCATTCCCAAGTAGTACTTCACCTCCCCCAAGTCCTTCATGCGAAAACGCGAGGACAAGAACTCTTTCACTCGATCTAGCAAAGCCTTGCTAGAGCATAGGAGCAAAAGGTCATCCACATAGAGGAATAAGGAGATCCGCTCCTCATCTCTCACAAAGTGGTACAAGGCAGGGTCACACTCAGATCTCTCAAACCCAAAATCCATGAGAGCCTCATCAAATTTTAGGTACCACTGTCGTGGGGCTTGCTTTAGCCCATAAATGGACTTTTTGAGGCGACACACTCGGTGAGACCCATCATCAAAACCAGGGGGCTGCCGCATGTAAAGCTCTTCCTCCAAATCCCCATGGAGGAAGGCTGTCTTGACATCCATATGATGGATATCAAGCCCCAAAGCAGCTGAAATTCCAAGCATACCTCTCAAGGTCGCATGCTTCCCAACTGGAGAGTACACTTCTTCATAGTGTACTCCCAATTTCTGCGTGTTTCCCATCACCACCAATCTGGACTTAGGCCTCTCAATGGTACCATCAGGGTTATGCTTGTATTTCCAAACCCATTGACACCTGAGGACCTCCAAACCAGGTGGTACCACGGCTGGATCAACCAGCTCAAATGATCCATTTACCTTGTGAGACTCAAGCTCCTCATGCATAGACTCAACCCATTCGGGACGGTTCAGCGCCTCATGGACTGACCTAGGCTCATGCACCTGACCCATTAGACACACATCAAGAGCATACTCATGCCCATGCATGTCCACAAGCATGCAATCATCCAAATCAGACACAAGATGATCATGCATGCGTGCAATGTGCCCCGGTGAAAACCTTTCAGGTGGCTAGGAAATTCGAGCACTGCGTCGCAGAGGTGTTGCCTCTCCTTCTTCCAGCCTCCGCAGCTTCTCCTCCCAAGTCACCCTCTTCATTGGAGTCCTTGGAGTCTTGGACAGCTGCTGGTTCAACAACTGCTGCCAACTGCTTCTCGATGGAGTTGAAGGCACATGCTGCTCCGGCTGATCATCACGCGCATCGGCCTGCGTGGCTGGCTGAGGGGTAGAATCTGTCTCTCGGGACTCCTCATGGTTAGGATCAGCTGGTTCTGGCTCCTCCTGCTGCTCCTCCCCTTCATCTCCAGGGTCCTCCCATGCCCCCTCAAAGATAGAAGCCGTATGAGGGTCTTGAATGGAAGTCCCACTTTGGCTTGTACCATGCTCCTTCCACCCCTTAAAATTCAGCCCCTCATGGAAAACCACATCACGGCTCTCCATCACACGCTGGTTAGCTTCACTCCATAGCACCCAAGCCTTGCTCCTCTCAGAAACCCCAAGGAAGATCCCCCACTGTGCCTTAGGATCTAGCTTCCTTCTTTGCTGGTCAGGTACCTTATACTGTGCCATGCACCCCCACACTCGTGCCATGGAAACATTCGGCACCTTCCCTGTCCATAAGGAGTATGGGCTCTTGCCTCCAAGCCCCTTGCTGCCCATCCTGTTCTTCACCCAGTTGGCATACTTCACTGCTGCCCCCCACCAAGTGTTATCAAGCTCGGCATGGGAAAGGATGGCCCGAGCCAAATCGGTCAAGGTCCTGTTAAGCCGCTCCGCTGCCCCATTTTGCTGCGGCGTGTAAGGTACAGAGAGCTGGTGGGAAATACCCTTTTCTTCCAAGAAGGTTTGAAGTTATTTCCCAAGGTACTCTCCATCCCGATCTGACCTTAACACCTTTACCTTGGCCCCTGATTCCCTCTCCACATAGCGTATCCACCGCTTAAACACCTTTGCCACCTCATCCTTGGTCTTCACCAAGGTGACCCAGCTAAGTCGACTGAAGTCATCAAGAAAGGTGACAAAGTACCTGCTGCCCCTTTCCCGGTCAGGAGTTTGCATCGGTCCACACACATCCGTGTGCACCAGCTCAAGGGGAGTCGAGGCATGATCAGAGGAGATAGGGAATGAGGTTCTAGGCAGCTTTCCAGACGTGCAGTCGGGACATTTGCTCTGCTGCCCAGCTCCTTCCTTGACCTCCACCCCCTTCAGCTCCCCCTTCTTCACACACTCCAGCAGTTGCTGCTTCCCCGCGTGCCCCATGCGAAGGTGTAGCAACTCAGGTGACACCGTTTCCACCTGCCTCCAGCGAGTGCTACAAGCGGCTTCCTCAGAAAAAACCATATGTGCCTTGTAACAATTAGGCACACAAGCTGGAACAAGGTATAAACCCTTGTCCAGCTTTGCCTCCATCACCACAGCTTCACCCTTTCTAACAGTACACCCTCCCTCCGTGAAAGTGCAGATGTATCCCTGTTTAGCCAGCTGCGAGCATGAAAGGAGGTTTGCAGCCAAACCAGGGACGTGAAGGACCCTCTTCACACCCACTAGCTCCCCCTCCTTCCCCTTAATGGTGATCGTGCCGATGCCAATTGCTTGCAGCAAATCTCCGCTCCCAACAATCACGTTCCTCGAATTTGGTGGGAGAGGATGGTAGGAGGTGAAGAGATCACGGCGAGGAAGCATCCCAGATGTTGCTCCAGAGTCTAGAACCAGGAAGTTGGGATCAGCCAATGCACGACCAGCGAGAGCTGCATCCTGCCCTAGCATGAGAAACGAGAAACCATCATCGGAGGAGTCGTCTTGGCCCTTCCCCTTCTCATCCTTAGCAGCTGCGGCCGTTGCTCCCTTGCTGCCCTTCTTATTCCAGAGCCCCTTCTTCATCCTTTTCTCCACCCAATCAGGTTTGGTCACTGGTGGGGCCTCTCCAGAGTAGCCGTGAGGCTTCCATCCCTTAGGCCTACTCCAGCAACTCTTCCAAGAGTGTTTTTTGTTGCATCCGGGCACAAGGCATTTGTCCAACTCTTTCTTCTTCCCCCCACCTCCTTGCTGTTAATAGCCTTTCCTGAAGGAAGCTTTATCTGCTGCACCCATGCCTCCTTCTAGACCTCTTCCAGCATCAACCTTGCGAGCCTCATCAGAAATTAGAACCTCCCAAATCCACACCTTGGTCCATTTCTGTTGCTCGAGGTGAAGGTACTGTAGTAATGCCTCATTAGCCGCTTGATCCAACCCTTGGAGCGCAGTATAGATGATCTCCTTCTCATCTACCGTGTAATCCAGCTCCTCCAAAGCCCGCACATTCTCATCCACCCTCTGGAGATACTGAACCATGGTCTCCCCCTCCCCATAGTTCCGCTCCATGATGTAAAACCGCTTCCGCCAAGTAAGCACGCTTAGAAGCCCTTTCTGCAAGTGCCTATCTTGTACTCTTTTCCAAGCTGCAGCCGCTGCACCTTCCTTCCCCTTCAGGTCAATCAGCATCTTAAGAAGCTCAAGTTGCCCCTCCAAAGCCCAACACAGGTACTGAAAAGCCTGGCGATCCTTCCGATCCCATGCTTCTTGAGCTTTGAGCAACTCCTCGCTACTTGGTTGCGACCTTCCGGTTCGGGTTGCAGCAGTTCCTCCTTCCTCCACCCCACTCAACGACGCTCCCCCAGCCCCGGATCCCACTTGGCTGGTTGCTCCAGTAGACGCCTCCCCAGAGTCAGCTCGTGGTCGCTTCTCCGATCCATCCAACACACTTTCTAGGTCCTTAATACCTAGCCATAGTGTGAACTGGAACCTCCATAGCGAAAAGTCCGAGCCGGTAAACCTAGGAGGGCCATCCAACTTTTGGGCCATGTCAAACCCTAGATCTGGAGCACTTCAAGCCTCCCTAGATCTCTTCCAATGGAGGAAAGAACGTCCTCTAACCGTGGCTCTGATACCACTGATGGAAATCGTGCAAATCTGGAGAGAACTAATTAGAGATTAAGTCTGACGACCTCAACGAATCATTGCGTGCTGCTCAGGTATTTTATAGAAATGAGCTTATACGCGTTGGAAAGGTCTTAATCTCTACTTTCCAGAATGGTAAAGCACGTTCATAACCAAGATCTGAGCCGCCGATTATGACGAAATCAGTGTGAGGGGGTATTCTGGTAATTTGGCTAGGCAGCCATGAATCACCTAGTAAAAACGAGAAGGGAAGCAGTTCGATCTGGAAAAGTTGGAGTATTTGATTGTCAAACAACACCAACCCTCGCCCTGAACCAAACCCTAACACTCCCAAGTGCCACAGCTGCAACATCAAAGATGCTGTAGTGGGTATGGGGTAGTATGGGTTGGAAAGGTAACAAGATCAAACCTAGCCAACCAACCCAATTCTTTTGCCCAAATCCCAATAGCCCACAGCCAGCTAGAGCAAATCACACCACAGAACACTACACATTTATCAAGGATCATGGCCTTGTTGTCAGCAAACACGACCGGGGCAGACCTTGGCTGCTCACCTCAGTCTGTGAGTAAGAACGCTAGCCAGCGGAGCTCCTGAGCGGCCATGGCCCCCAGCGTAGATCTTTGCCTTACAGCTCGACTGAGCTACAGACGTCGACCTAGTGGACCTCCACGAGACGAGATGACTGCACCAGCCGCAAGACTAAAGCAGTAGCCCTGAGATGACCTGAGCATCTCCAAGTCATCAGCCCACGACTCGTCTGTGTGTCCAGTGAGCACCATTGGCTCTCGTCCTCCTAGCACAAGCCCCAATCTTGATGTACTCACCAAATACCGCAATTCCATCTTGGCAGCCGACCAATGGACTGGTCGGTGCCTGCCTATCATAACAAAGCGAGCTAGGAGAATGAGAGGGTACGCTAGATCTGGTCGAGTGCAGGTCATCAGGTACATGAGGCACCCCACCAACTTTGCGTATGGACCACTAACCTCGACCCGCTCAGCCGGAAATGGAGCAGAGAGCTTGTGATTCACAGGCAAAGAGGCGGGCTGTGCTGAGGAGAAATTGAGACTGAACATTTGGAGGATCTGTTGCACTCTATGGGACTGGGAGAGTGTGATCGTGTGAACGGCACGACTACGAGAGATCTCCTAGCCCAGATAGCGCCTCAGCTCCCCCAAGTCTGTACGATAGCAGAAAAAAAAATCTAACCTAGCTCTGATACCATGCTAGAGTAACGGGAAGAAGTGTGACTAGGAAGAGGGGAGGGGAGATACAAGTGCAAAATATAGTCCCCTCTATGAACTAACCTAGCTAGGCTATGACAAACATATATATACTAACTAGATATGTGTGTACATAATATATGTTTGTTGACACTGCACTACGTGCGGCTGATTGGCTCGTCTTTTCCTTGACAACCAAGGAATTTGACACGCACGCGCCGTCGGGCCAACGCGCACCAGCGCAAAGCTGATTGCCACGTGACTGGGGTGATTATTGCCCCGAAATGGGGGATCGCCTTTGTAATCACACCGGGGCACTTGTATACAATACTTCTTCGCATCAGGGTCCCAACACTACACTTTGAAAAAACACTCAACAAATATAGTTTTTCTCATAAGGGCGTGGTGCTTTGAGTTTGGTTGTTCAGCAAGTTTCGAGCAACAAGGTGGTTACACTTGTCGGGAAGGGCAATCGTCAGTTTTGCGAGGATGTCAGAGCACCACCCCGAGATTCGAAACAAAATTAGTGCGAAGGCGGTTCGAATGCGCCCGTTCGGACAGCACATTCCACGCCGTTTGAAACATCCCGCCAAAACCTCAAAGAGTCCGACACGCAAAATTTGTGAGACTGCAAGAAAGTGGGCATCGTTACCACGATCACCAAGGACCCCACACCCCCTTGACCTGATAGGCCAAGCAGCAGTCAACACAATGCGCCCCCTTGAGTTTCGAGCACCCTGGCTCGACACGCTGGTCAATTGCGCAATTACGACGTTTTGATTTTGGCAGAATTTGTGAACGACTCGGATTTGCCATGCGAACATACTTTGACTCCATCACCGTCCTTGTAGTTCGAATGTCTGGTTTGATATCACGCCGCTTCCGGAAATTCGTGAATTTAGAACTCGAAGTACGAGAAAACATCCAACAAACTCGAAGCACCACGCCCTATGGGTCTGAAACTAAACCACTTTCGAAAATAAGGGGCCAACACCTACCCTAGCCTTATTGTAATGGTCGTAAGGTTATTTCACCCTAGTATCATGAGGCCTGGCATTCGTGGAGGCTAGGTACTAACCTAGCTCAATACCATATCGCTCACTAGTGTGTTGGGCTGAGAACAGCCCTAGGATCTTTCAGAAGACAGTGGTGATAGCATAGTGGAAGTCTAACAGGTTGTAACAGAGTGCTTGATAACACAGTGGAAGTCTTGAGTGAACCCTTGTACTAGTATATGAGAACAAGTGATTGATTATTGTAAAGGGATACAAGGTTTATATAATAATACAAGAGAATATGAAGAGTCTAACTGTTTTGTGCACTTCGAGGGGTTCATTCCCTTTATGACTCGATAAGAGCAACTCGGGTAACCACCCGTACTGTAATACCGTGATGGTTTTTTGTCATTGCTGTCGCGCTAACTTGACTCTTGTACTTCTGACTGTTGAGTCGTACGGTTTAGCAGAGGAGAGGGCGATTAGTTCTTGTTTTCCCGAGTGCTAGGAGATAGTGCTGATGGGCTCCAAGCGGTAGACGTAGCCGGTGTGAGAGCGCCTATTGTCTTTGTCGCGAGCGTGATCAGTGTCGACGTAGCCAATAAGCTATGTCTTATTAGTGGCGTTCTAGTGGTAGGTGAGGCCGATTGTCGCTTAAGGTACGTGGCAAGCTGACTGGCGGCATAGGAGAGATCAGGACGGCACATGACGGCGGCGAAGAGCAGACAGCCCAGATTCCGCTGGTATTCCTGGATGCCGACCGTGGCAAGTAGTGAGGACGATGGTGCGGGAGCAGGCAGGGCGTAGAGGTACGGAGTAGCGAGGGGCAGTGGAGAGAGATCGAACCGTCGAGCGAAATTCTCGGCGTACTTCGAAGTTGCTAGGTGAATAGTGTCAGGGTCATCAGTGATGTTGAGCCCTAAGTACTGCGTTACGGTAGGCAATGCCATGAGTTGGAGTCCCAGCTCCCCTTCGAACTAGACAGTGATGGAGGTGGTGGAGCCGACGTTCAGAAAATCGTTGATATAGACGATGAGTAGCACGTAGTCCCCACTACGAGAGAGGTGATACATGCCCTGGTCATGGGGCAGCTAGGTGAAGCCCATGG